CACTATAAAGCAAGTCAGTCAACCTATCGTGATGACTTCCCAAGAATAAATCATGGTCTTTCCAGAGGTAACCGCGTGGAAGTCAATCTAATAGGGTATATTGTTAGCAATGGGACTGTTAGACCCCATTTACCAACAATCCTTTTCCCCTCCTTGCTTGTCAAAAATAATATAAAAGCATATATTACTAAGATGTGGACTTAATTACTTAATATTGGACTTTAACATGATAAAATAAGTGGTGAAAAATGGCGAAAATTTTGAGTTTCACATACGATATAATGCATTTTTGTCGTTTAAATTTCGTCCTATAAAATAGTACATATTTCACAAATATGGTTTTATTATCAAAATTTATATTTTTAAATTTTATTATTTTCATTATCGTAACTTGTATTTCTAGTATTGTATTATAATAAATATACAAACTGAGTAAGTTGACGCAAACTTGTACGCATCTCTTATGCATACCACCTATAACACATTTAAACTGTATAATTTGTTGATTGATATGTGAAGGACAACTCTAGTCATTGTTTTTTACACAATTGTCCTATTATGTTGGTACAGAATTGAATTATAAAATGTATGTGACAAAATATTCACACCTGTATATGGAGTCTCTTCTTATAACTGCGAAAAAAACCTATATAATTTTAATAATGGCGCGCTTTTAAAATTTTAAAAATAGAACTACAGAAAATATTTATAGAGTATTCAAATAGTGTATGTAAATGTAATTGATGACTTTTCAAAAAATTAAAAAATATAAGTAACTAATGTAATAAAATACAACCGAATTGAGAATTAATTCGGTTATTTTTTTTACGTTAGTTACCTCACAATTTCGCCATTTATTAATCGATATAAGAATTTTTTTTATCTTTTTAAGATTGTTCCTTTAGAAATTAGATCAAAATTGGTTTTATAGTTTGGTTTTTAAATAAAAGTAACTGTTTATTAATTTTTTTTTTGCTTTGTGAAGCAAAATCTATTAGTTACATAAATTGTCAGGATATCTAATAATAGGAAGGAATTGTTAGTAATAGATTATAGCATTCTAATTGATAATATACATACTATGTCAGGACGATCTCTTGGCGGCCTCCTTGGAAATCATCGTGGTTAATTCTTTGTGATTTCACCACGTTGAGCTAATTGTTCTAATTTCACCCTCACTATCTCACTAAGGTTAGCATTTCATTAAACAAAAAAAAAACATTTATACATATAGTAAGTTATGATAATCAAAACTTAAATTTAGCTCATATTGGTCTTTAAAAACACGAGAATACTTTTGTTATAATTATTTTTATTGTATAAATATATTTTTAAACTAAGAATTTAGCTACATGTAAATGCACTCTATGTCATTGTCCACCTTGCTCGAAGAGTAAGCAAAGGAAATATTCCCATACAGCCTTTTCTTCTGCAACTATTAATTTAGAATAAATAATAGTTACTTTATCCACGTAAGTTTAAAAATAATTAAATATTCGTCGACTGTGTGTGTATATTAATTACTCATATAATTCTTGATGTGTTTTTTATAAATGTTGCTTTTGTTGCAAGGAGATGATAACCAGGTTTTAAATAAGTCTCAACCGGGGTCTAAGAAATACGTGTTGCGTGCAGCGTCATTTATTTCGATTAAAAACAATTATTTCATGCAACGTTATAATGTGCGTTAATTATGCAAATGTATAGTTCCGTGGATCGATAAAAGGAACAAGACTGTACAGACACATAAATAACAATAATATTTCGCACTGAAATAGTGTATAATATTAATTAACCTGTAAGTCCCTTATTTCGTTTTGACCAACGTTTCTGGTTTCGCACAAGGCGCGGGAATGCGCCCGCGCACCTGTCCCGCACTCTGTTAGCGCACTTTGTATGCGCGATAAGTTTAGACATTATTGTCATCCCTTTTTGTGATCGCGTCCGACAATTTACGATAGTTTAAGTAAGTACTTTGTGTTTATGTACATTTATAATGATTGTTTTTTTATTTTGTCCTGGTATTTAACTGACATTTATAGAAGTTGTTTTACATGCAATATGATTACAGGTAATGTATTTTATTGCCACATTTATGCATTAAAATTAAAGGGGAACAATAGAGAGTAATGGGATGATAGGTATATTTAGAGTTAATTTTGATAGAGCGCTGCGCATACGCACATTAATAGACTACGCGGAAAGCGAAGCGATAAATCCGCGCGCATTTTTCACAAACGCATAAAATCCGAACGCACCTATTATTGAATCGGAGAACAATTGACAAAACTACAACTATCCCGCTCTAGTTCAATGCGGCGCTCCCGCTCGCTCGATGCACGCGCCGCTATTGTGTCTAGTGCGACTCCGCGAGGCACATCCGTCTCTGTCCCTCCACATAGCGCCGTCCCACTCGTACGCATGTCAATGCAGTTTATTGTACACGTTAATGGCTCTGATTACAAATGTAAATTTTCAGCGTGCGACGGCGTTGGTCGGCTTTTTTCTTTTCGATTTCTCTTTATGGTATTAAATTGTAGCAAACTTTTATGCTTGTTTCTTTTTTAATAAACACACTATTGTTTCATATTATTGTAGGTCAGTTTTGTAAAGCGAAGCCGACGCGAGACCGAAGGAAATTATGGTGTAAACAACATCACTAATAATACACTCTGGATTTACATGTCTATCTCAGGATTATGACGCTACACTTCCCTATCGACAGCAAATTTATATTAGCGTGACAAGTGAAATTTATGATTTTAATTAGTAATAAACAGTAACAATTAATCTGACTGACAAAGGAACGGGAGCCAAGCAACATTGACTAAAATAAAATAGATGAGAGTACGCACATTGACGCACTGACAGATAGACTTACCTATTATTCGCATATCAGGGCACTTTATTTATAAAACCCGTCCAATTTAAATTGGCACATCCCCTTTGCGTTTGTATCAAGAAAAGGTGGAGCGTTGGGGGCGAATCGCGGGTCTTGTCAACCTGGACGCCGTTACAACTGTTTCCCAACCGAATACCATTCGCAAAAGATACCACTCGGCTGCCAATTTTCAGAAAGACAGAGCTAAAATAATTGCTGCAAACGCGCCCTATTTCGAGACGGCGCACTACAGTTTAGATAGATTTAATTCTAGAACATTATTATTCTACTGGCCGTTGTACACGACTATTATTGGGACGAAGGAAAAAATAAAGATTCCACACACACACACACACACACACACACACACACACACACACACACAAAGTTTTGTAAACAACATTCAAGTGATATTTTATTTTATTTGTTTATAACAAATTTTAAATTTAGAATTGTAAATCGCCACAACGATGCAAATTTATAAATGATAAATTCATTCTAAATTCAAATTTTGTAGATCACAAAAATAGAATACACACCTATTGTAACCAAAAATGAAATTATTAAAAATGGAAATGAAACATAATTGTTTATTCGTATCACTTTGTTTTTCTATTATGTTCATAGTGGGTGTTTTATTTTCTAACGGCGAATGTCTGTCAACTACTCACCTACTGCTATTGTCACCTAAGGCTTCATTATAATGTTACTAAGAACTCGATGTTTATTTATAACATTAGTATAATTTATTAGACGCTCGACTCTTTCTAAGTGAGTCGCACACCTCTGGTGATTTGCTCGAGAATACATAATGAAGGGCACGATTTATAGAAAAGAACACTTCGGTCTAAATTAAAAGAAGACAAACTAAATGCTTAGATTATACAGTGTCTCCAAACAAATGCTTTTAAAAAAGCGGGTCAAATTTTTCATATAATTTTACGTAATAAATAATTACGAGTGATTCTTTATATTTATTTGTTTTATACATTTTGCACCTTTTCAATGTACAATAACTCATTTTATTTAAGGGGTTATATACAGTTAATTTTTTCAAAAAATCGATTTTTTTTTTATTTTATTTTCTGATTCTACATATATTCAAGAATACACACAAGAAATTTCAAATCGATCCGGCAAATATTTTCGAAGTTACACGCATATTTGTAACGACGTCTCGGAGCGCTTGGGAGTACGAGTATAAGGCCGGAGCGGCATCGACTACCTGAGCGCTGTCCCTTTCATGCATCTGTCTATTGTAAGCATTCCCCTTCTAAAGTGTTTAGATGTGTAAATCAACAGTGTGATTATTTTATTTTATACCTGAAAAGTGAGTTTATATTTTTTCGACCCTAAAGTGGAACATATTTAAGAGTGGTAGTCAGTATACGGAGCCAAGCCAAGCTGTAAACTTGTGAGATCGTTTATTTTTTTGTGTGTAATTTCCAGTGAAAATGAAGTCTTCCCGAATAATGAGAAAATCTCATAATGTACGTAAGTCGAGAGTAAAAAAACGTAAAAATGTTTTCAACCCAAAAACAGCTGAAACAGATGAAAGGAGTTTCAGTGCCTCGGCGAAAAAATTTAAAGAGCAAGAGGAAATCTCCGTCACACGTGATCCGTCTGTTGAGTATCGCATACTAAACTTCATTACTGTTTTTACAGCAATTGCTGAATATGTAAAGTGTAAAGTCTGTGACGGAGATGTCAAGTTTCAAACAACTTCTGAACGAGGACTTGGTTTTCAAATAGTTGTGCTGTGTGATAAGTGTGCCGACCGTAGCGTAAATTCTAGTCCGTTCGTCACGCATTCTTATGAAATAAATCGACGATTTTTATTTGTCATGAGAGTTCTCGGATTAGGATTGAAAGGTGCAGCAAAATTTTGTGGATTAATGGACATGCGAGCTTTTATATCACAGCCAACTTATGATTTGATAATAAATAACATTCACTCCAGTGTAAAAATAGCCACTGAAAAACTTTTTGCACAGGCTTGTACCGAAGAGAAAAATTTGACTTCCGATAATCAAGGTAACGAACATTCAACAGAATTAACTGTATCTGGTGATGGCACATGGAAAAAGCGAGGGTATACTTCCTTGTACGGTGTTCTTTGATTGGATATTATTCAGGTAAAATAATAGATATAGTTGTTAAAAGTGCCTACTGTAAACTGTGTGAAACTTGGAAGAAGAAACTTGATACAGAAGAGTATAATGAATGGTACGAAGAACATAAAAATACTTGCACTGCAAATCATGCTGGTTCCTCAGGGAAAATGGAAGTTGATTCAGTCGTTGAAATGTTCAAACGTTCATTGGAAAAACTCGGAGTCATCTATAAAAATTATATCGGAGACGGTGATTCCAAAACGTACTCGGGAATTTTAAAAGTTAAACCTTATGGTGATGAGGAAGTTGTAAAGAAAGAATGTATTGGACATGTACAGAAACGAATGGGTACGAGACTTCGAGATTGTGTAAAAAAAAATGTTGAGACTGTTGAGAATGCGAAAGGAAAAAAAATACAAAAGAAAACTCTCGGTGGAAAAGGAAAACTCACTGGAAAGATGATCGATAAGTTAACAGTTTACTATGGCTTAGCAATACGTAGAAATTGTGATTCCATTGAGAAAATGTATAATGCTATCTGGGCCACATATTATCACTATTGTTCATCTGACCAAAAACCTCAGCACGACAACTGTCCGAGTGGACCAGACTCATGGTGCAGCTGGCAGAGGGCTGCTGCTGCCAATGAAGTATCTACTTTCGAACATGATTATGAGCCACTACCTGATGATGTTGCTGAAGCTATACGTCCGATTTTTATAGACCTCAGCAATAAAAGTTTATTGGAAAGATGTGTCGGTGGTTTTAACCAAAACAACAACGAGAGTTATAATCAACTGATTTGGAAAATCTCTCCCAAAATTGTTCCGGCAGGCTCGAAAACTGTAGAAACCGCTGCATACATAGCTGCTGGCGTCTTTAATGAAGGAATGGCTTCATTATTATATTATATGAATGCAATAGGAATTACACTTGGACCCAACGCACATTTATATGCCGAAAAAGAAGATGAGCAGCGCGTGAACATCTCCGACCGCAGAGCGCGCGATAGCACCCGAGATGGAAGAATGGCTCGCAGACAACATCAGCTCGAGTTATTGGAAGCTAATGAATCAGCAGAAGGTCTCTTATATGGGCCTGGAATAGATGACACCATGTAAGTTGAAAAAAAAAATTTTTTATCCCATGTAAAGTGCACTCAAAACTTTAAACGCGTTTTTCTCGAAATGGTGTTTTCAAAGTCGGTGACCACTGTAACTCGAAAACGGTTTCTCCGATTCGTCTAAAATTTTGATACAAGCTTCTTAAATATATTTTTCAGTTATTAATCGAAGCTTTTATTTTTCCAATAAAAACTTCGATTTTTTATAAACAATTTAAAGTTGAAATTTTGGTGAAAAATCGACTTTTTTTTTGAGAAGGCGCCATTTTGACAAAAAATTTTTTTTTGCTTATTCCATCGATTAATAATTGAATTTAACATTACTTTAACTAAATCTTTTTATTTTTTTAATTTCAGATGATCCAGTTCAGAGATAGAGTGGTCACCGCAAGACGTCTTTTTTTAGAGGACCTCCTGGAGATCGGCTGTAGCTCTTCTCCAGAGAAATATTTTTACTAATAATAAGCACTAAAATGTTGTTGAATAATACCATAATAAGTATGTAAACTTTTGGAATCAATAAATTTTAACGGCTTCTCAAAAAAAATTCCTAAAAATTCGCTTTTTTTCGACCCATTAACTGTATATAACCCCTTAATAAATAATTAAATATAGATACGTCAAGATACGTTATGTACGTAAGTATATAGATTAATAATAAAAAACTACTTAGCTGATTTGACAATTAGCTGACACAAAGTTTTTCAAACTCGAGACTCTATCTATATAATTTAAGACTAGTGCTTAACGTAACTTAATAAAATTAAATATATTAATTAGATTAATATCAGATATAGGGAAAAATGTTGACAGTCAAAAAACAAATGGTCCAATGATTGTACTTCATTAGCAGTAGTAACAGTACATCTTTTAACACAAAGTACATGTCAAATAGAGACAGCAAACAAAATACTCAGAAATGACAATTAAAATACAATAACGTCATTAATTAAGCGGCACCGTGAGACGCCCATCAAAACGCATTAAACCAAACAAAATAATGCCACATTTACATCTAACACGAATCCTAACTAATATTATAAATCAGAAAGTAAGTTTGTATATTACGCTTTCACGCTTAAACCTCTGATTATAATGAATTTTTAGGTTATAGGTTATTTTCTCTTGCGAAAACTTTTACAGGGAATGGGGTGAATGAGCGATAATTTTTGTATAAAACTTTTTGTTGCGTCGTCCTATTTGTTTCAAACTTTGACGAATTATTATTTATAATTCATGACTACGATATAAGTACAGATTTATATATATATATATATATATATATATATATATATATATATATATATATATATATATATATATATATATATATATATATATATATATATATATATATATGTATATTGCTCCTTAAAAGGGATGGGTTTTATTACCATTCATTACCAGAGGGAGACTTTGTACAAAAGACGTTTGCTTCAGCACCTCTGTCCCATTCGTGTTTCTACCGTGAAGCAGTTGTGTTTACATGGCTGTGTTTCGGTTTGAAGGGTGGGTGATATGGCAGTGAATTTGCAGGGTACAGAGGAATAACACCTGAGTCCTCAGGAATGGTAACGCATGGGAGGTATCATGGGCAAAACAGTATACTCTGTTATGTTCATGGTACTGCTCATGTCTATAGGCGACGGTTACCACTTTCCATTAGGTGGGCTGTTAGCTTGTTTGCCATTTCAAGTTGCATAAAAAATGCAACTGTTTTATCCCTCCATATACCAACAACTGTAATTGTTGAACAAAATCAATATTAACGCAAACAAAGCCGCGGGTAAAAGCTAATACTTTATAAATCTATGCAGACGTCGCGAAATTTGGCAATGCGTCATTTGGCATCGCCGCGCCGTGCACATTACGAGTATACGGAATGCAATTTCTGTTTACTCGCATCCTTACAAACGACACTAAAACGTTGACGAGATTTATGCAAGAATAGACTGCGACTCGTATAATGCAAGGAACGGAATTAATCGATGGCACAGTCATTGTTGTAGCCGACACATCAAAGATGCGCAATGCAATAAAAGACTTATATGTGAGTAACGATAGAGTCTAAATAAAATATTACACTGTGGTATTTTTTTAATAACTACATTCTAAAGAACCATAATAAAAAGAATAGAAGAGGCAAAATGCTATGCCACCTTATTCGAAATGTCGATTTTTTAAAGAGCACAGTAGAAGGAAAAATAAAGATAGTAAAAGAGAAAGGGGAAGACCGAGGAATAACTACATGGGACAGGTAAAGGAAACACTAGGTGTCGAATCGTATAAGGAGGTGAAAGATATGATATGGGATAGAGCTGGTTGGATGAAAATGCATTAATTAATTGCATCGACAAGAGTAAACTCTTAAATGAAAAGAAGAAGTATTTTTTATGGATGATAATCGAATGGTAACTCCGCCTGTGCTAACGGTATACGCTGGCGGGGCACCAGTGAGAGATGATAGGTGATAATGGAAGCAGGTCAGTTAGCCCATGAAAGTCCACGTGATGAATACACCTGGAATTCAGTACGATAGTTTGCAGAGTGGACATCGTGGAGGTCGACCTGAAAGGGTATATTGCGAGCAATGGGTCTGCTAGTCCGCATTACTAACATGTCCTCTCTCCCCTACGCTGTAGCATTAGCAAATCGAAATCCTTAAAATATTACAATAAGTAATAGAAATTGTAAACATATACACACACCCACATATACACACAGCACATGAGATGACACACAATGATATACATAAAGTGTAAAAATGTCAACTGGGAACGTTAATAAACTCGATACGAACGCCGTACGTCATCGCGAGACCGCATTCAAGCGCGCAATCTTTATGCGGTCCCGCCGATCCCCAGCACTCGGGCAGGCGCGAGACGAAACTATCCGTCCACGCTCATATTTACAACAATAAGCAGACGCGGGAACAATTACATTTGCACACAATATAAAGACATAAAGAAAGCAAATAATCACCTTTTCTAAATCCGAATACAAAGCGACGTTGGAAATACGAAAAGGTAACAGCCAATCGCTAGAGCGTATGCCAAAATGCCAACGCGCGATCAACAATTAGGTATGCGCTCTATTCCAAATTCAAATACGAACGCGGTAATTCGAAATTTGAATAAATTATGACTTAATGTAACAATCATCGATAATACGAACGTGACATGTACGTTCTGAAATTAAAACCACTCAAATTATTCATGGGCATTATATGAATTTAATTTATATAGAGCCGATAGAATTTATTCGTCGGCGTATTTATAAATTCGTCTAAATGTCACGGGAACAATGGAGTGGTCGTGTCTATTTAAGATTGATGAGTAACAAATAATCTCCGTTGTTGTAAGAAAGGTAACTTGCGTAACGCCCGAGACTCGTATGAGAATGTCAGATTACTGACCGGTATTATTTTCGGTAAACGATACGTATCTTGTCTATTCGGGTCCGACGTTGCGTTTAATAGTTTAAGCACTATCGGAGTATACACACCGTACTGGTAATCTCGACGTACCGCTGATTTCACCCAGAGATCACCGGATCAAATGTAAGCATATTTTTTACGCGACCGCGCAACAGAATTTTAATGAAAATCGTGATTGAGTTTCTAAATGGCAAATTGTATCGCGCACTTTTAATCGCCGCTAAGAGTCGTCTTAAAATTCGAGCGGCGCATTCATCAAAAATAAGAAAATAATTAATACCCGTTTCGGAACGAGAAACGAAACGTTTAGAATGGACACAACAATAAAACAATACGCCGCTCGCAAACCGAAACAAAACACAGAAAAATATGAATTCCGATCGGAACGGGCCGCGGAAACAAAAGATGGGGGATTTAATGAAATGAAATAAAATATAAATTCCTTTTGCAAGCGAGAATTCTTACATTTTTAATTTGGTACCGCGGAATGGGTCTAAAAACGGTCAAATTCCAAATTCATAAGCGGTGCCGTGATGAAGCGAGCTCGTTCCACTCTCAAGTGTATTCAACTAAAAACGAATATTCATTTATATCGAAAATCAATTCCGTCGAGGTTCGCCATTGAATTTATAAAAATTCGAATTTATTTGAGCGTGCACGTGAATTATTATGTCTATATATTTCGGTCGCCATGTAAGGTGAGGTCAGGCTGCTGTGTTTACCGCGCTATCACATTTGTTATCTTGTCAGCATCGGCTACAATATTTGAAGGATGTGTGGATAATTTTGATTTAATATCTCGATAAAATGGCCAATAATAATGTACAGTCACTTACATATTACAATCTATTTCAATTTATCTTTAGAATTAATTTCGTAATCTCTATGCAAATAATGTAATATTACATATGTAATAGATTATTATTTCTATCAATTTTAATAATTTGTTTAGACATCTGTATGAATTATTACATAATATTAACAACATTTCGCCGTGTAGGTCTCACCATAGAATGGGCCACTCCCCTCCTTTCTCGTGGGTGTCATAAGAGGCGACTAAGGGAACTTATGGTCGAAGGATGGGCAGCAACGTCCTTCTTAAAATATCACCAAAGCCTAACTGCGTTTGCCAACCCACCTGCCAAGCATGGCAACTAATGGCTGATATGATGATAATGATGATTAACAACATTACTTTTAAAATTGTTCAGCAATTGTACTTATATGGTATGATAATGCTTAAATCAAGCATTGCCCAACATAGAATAATTAAAAAAAGAAACAAATATAACAAAACAAAGAAGAAAGAGTAAAAAGTCAAAACACAAATGGTGAATAATATTAAAATTTAAATATTTTTTTCTTTTACCCGATCAAGTATAGAACCTGTATACATTGCCAGCTGTTACAGTGGTCGTAAATATGTAATCGATAAACAACAATATAGTAGAAGACGGACGGTTCCCATCATCAACGGTATTTAGTCATAAAGTTTTATTAAAACAAACAGTTTCTTATACGTTACTCATTTGGCCGTCCCAACTTGTACTGGCGTCTGGTACGTTTCATTTCGTATGTACGTCATTTTAAGTGGGTATACAGGATTTAAGATAATAACCAAAGTCTTTTGGTTTGATAAAATATTGTTATTTTTGTAGATATTACGTTCACCACATCGACAAATATATTAATCTGTGTTTAGGCTTTTTATTGGCTTTGTATTAATTTAATTTTCTCTAATAAACACTCGCTTTTCAAGTTTCAACAAGTTTCTTTCAGAAATAATTTAATAAATTTTCAAATTTATATTTTAATGAATTATCATGATCATATAGCTGAACATAAGCCTCCCCCTGGGGGGTATTGCCAGTACGTTTAGTAGGCGGATTGGTAACTGCAGTTAGACTTTAGAAATATTTTAAGAGGGACGCTGCTTGCCATCTCTCGCCATCCCTTAGTTTGCTTCTTATGACATCTACGAGAAAGGAAGGGGTGGCCTATTCTATGCAAGGATCACAGGGCCAATGGATAATATGCATTAATTACTTGTAGTTCTTATAAAGTATAAAGTCAAATATTTGTCGTGTTATCAGTCATGGTTGTTGGTACTTGGTGGAACTTTTTATTTATATTAATATTATTACAATTGGTTTGGTA